AAAGGAAGTAGGCAGAATATGACTAGAGCTAGAGGTATAATGCAAAAACAAAACAAAAACCCCAATTAAAAAAAAAAATGGGAAAGCAACAAAATGGTCAGAAGAGTAATGCCAAAGTTGCAGGTCCTGGAGAAACTGTACTGGGAAAGGGGCTGGACCTAAATGAAGAGGTGACACTTTGACGGACTGGAAAAGGGGACAGAGGCTGACAGTGTGTGGGAACCTGAAGATAATGCCCATTATCCACAACAAATAGACACCTTTCTTAATTCTCAAACCAATGTTAAAGGAAAAGTTGACACAAAAAGGGAAGTGCTCGCCTGACAGTGAATCTGATGCTAACAAATACAGGGAGGAAAAGGGTGTTGCCGGCAAAGCAAGCGAGGGGCTGTTCCCGAGGTTGGGGCGCGAGGGGGGCGGGGAGTGGGGGGACTGACAGCGGTGAGAGCGATCATCTCATAAACAGAAGGACCCGGAGTCAGGTTGGCGACAGCAGAAGAAAGCAGGTGGACTGGGAGCGTGCTCCCTTGTCCAGAAGAGGAGGCTCAGTACTCAGGAACTGTGTGTGTATGGGGGTGGGGGCCATTGAAGGTCTTAACCGTTGCTGGAATTCCTTTTTGCTTTTTATCAAGTAGTGCTCTACTTTTCAACAGAGAACAGCTTTCTGGAGCTGTCTCTTATCAGACAGAATACCTGACATCCAGATTTAGTTTATTTTCACTCAAGAACAGCTTTTTCTCAGTGTTGGGAAGTTGTCTAGCCATTACTCAATCTGAACTTATTTTTAACTAGTGTGAGAAAGAACCTGCTATGATTTTTGTCCATGTATGTCTACATAAAATATCTATATAAGTAGTTTTTTTTTTCTTAACTGAAACAAAACCATGCCCATGCTCCTAGATTCCATCACTCTAACCAAGCCAGGAAGCAGTTCAGATTCAGTTCAAGAGGTACCCAAAGTGTAAACTTTCAAATCCAATGGTTGATTTGGTCGTTACTCAGGCAGTGACGCAGAAGCAGCAGTGTCAGAGTTCATATCTGTACCATCATAATACTTATGTAAAAAAATCCTTAAAGGCATGATTTTACCACGCCAACAACTCTCCACCCAGACAAGGAAGCCAAACTTGCTAAGCCAGGCTTGTGTGCATGTTGGAAGGTTTCTTTAGGGAAGCACTCCTGTTTTGCCCAGTTGAAATCTGTGCACTGAATAGCTGATGTCGCTTATGGAAAGGTAGTCTGTGTGATTAGATGAACTGCCAAATTAGTGCCCACTATCATAAGCAGGGAAATAAAATTTGACGTTGCAGTTAGTCATCTGCACATTTTTTTCTCTGCCCCAACTCATCCTGTCATAGGACCCTTGCTCTGCAGACGTCTGGTCTTTGTGACTTCCATGGGAATGATTCAGTGTGCTGTGTAGGAGACAGGCAGGAGAGGGCAGAGTTTGTTCTCTGGGGGTGAGAATGGACAGTGGCCAGAGAGAAGGTGCCCTGGTCTGCACTTTCAGAAGCCTCTGTAGTGTTTCTCAAGTCCCTGGGACAAACACCTTTCCCAAAGACCTCTCTGTCCAAACTGCTGGCAGCCTGTTTCGTTTGGCTTGGCGGGGGTGGGATGGGGGGGGTATGTCCTTGGTTTTTATCAGAAAATCCTCCTGCTTTGTAGTAATTTTATACACTTTAGGACTTCTGGAATCAGGCTTAGATGATTATCTACTAATGGCCTTCCAGGCGTCCCTCCCCTTCCTCCCCTCAGATGCCCGAGTCCTCCAGTTCCAGTTGTAGAAGCTGTTATAAGAGAGGGGTCCAGCGCTGATACCCTCTAATCATGAGTTGTGTAACTGCCTCCCTAACGGTCCCCTCTGTGTAAACCTAAGCTGTCCGGTATTGAGTTAGTGGTTCAGCGGGAGCTAGGAAAATAATTCTGTAGTAATCGAAGGGCTATCTAGCTGTACATTGCTTACTTTATTGTAAATAATGGAAGAGTGGTCAATAAATAGTTTCATACCCATGTACCCAGAATCCTTAGCTCCATCCTGCAAGTTAGCCTGTTTCTAATACATATTTATCTTGCCCCATCTGCTAACTTTTTAAATCCAAGTTCTCTGGGGACACCCATAACGATGATGCTGTTGGCTGACTGTCACATTCTGTGCACTAAGACTGTTTTGATCATAAATTTGGCTATCATATAGGCGTTGCACATTTATGTAGAACTCATTCAATAGATGAAATTATTTACAGATCACACTTTATTTATATATTCAATTAGCTTTGTAGACGGGGTCTCATTATATGGCCCAAATTGGCCTTCAACTCTCAGTCCTCCTGCCTCAGACTCGTAAGTGCTGGGGACAAACATGCACCATCACACCCAGCCAACCAGTTTAAGGTTATTAGTCTTAGAAAGAAGAATAGGGTCCGGGGCAGCTATGAGGTTAGAACCCACAGCTACACACCCCTAAATTGCCAGCACATTCCCAAGGCTTGAGGAGACAGATCTGATGGCCTCCCCTCTTGTTCCTAATTGTCTGTGCACATTGCTCATTCATAAACAAATGGGCTGCTATTAGATAAGAGACCCTTCTGGGAGTGAGCTGGGGCTTATGGTTGCTAACTTGGTGTGCTAGAACTGCTAGCATAAGCCACACAGAGGAAGAGGCTTAAACAACAACCACACATTGTCCCTTGGTGCTGGAAGCCAAAGGCATGGGATCGGTAGTTCTCAAGGCTGTTGCTGCAGAGGCCTGTGAGGGAAGACTGTGCCCCAGCCTGTGTTCTTTGGGTGCCTGTAGCAGGTCCCTTCCCTCACAAGCTTTCCCTCTGCATTTCATGTCTCTCTCCTGTGCACATCTGTCTGTGCAAGCTTCCCTGCTCAGGTACACTGGGTTCACCTCAGTTTGATTGCTGCTTTAGAACTATGCCACCTCCATGTGGTACATGGAATCGGGACTCTGCAGCAGGAATTTTTGAGAGTTCAAACACCAAAGATACCTACACTGAGAGTGATTCCTGTTGCTGGGGTGCATGAGCTGCATGACGTATGCCTGACACTTCAAGTGTGCTGCAATGGTGGGAGGTAAGGGATTCATCTGAGCTCTGGGATTGCTGGTGGGAGGGCAAGAAGAAGGTATTATGTAGGGACACCTTAGACACTGTGAAGGAATAAATGGCCTCCTCCATCCCGTGCACTTTATTAACCCACACCCCTCTCCTGGGCAACTCATGCAATGCCACAACAAAAGAAAACATGAACAATCAGGTACTGGACTACTTCTCTGGGACAAGCACCCGTATTTAATGTCTCTTTTTCACAATGTCACCCTGTATTTGGCATCCTAAGCAGGATGCACTGATGATATTTAGTCACAGTAGCGAAACGAAGGAGCAAATGACCCCACACAGCCTAAATTTACTCCTTCTGTATTAGTCCCTGGTGGAGGGTGCACAGTGACTGCCCCAGACCAGCAAGTGTCCAGTGTTAATAAGCCAGAATCTCACTACGGCTCCCATCCCAGCTCTCTCTGCACACTCACCTGTCACACTCTTTGTGCTGGATAGTTTAATGTCAGCCTGACACAAACTAAAGTCATTTGAGAAGAGGGAACCTCAACTAAGAAAGCGCCTCCATAAAATGAGGTTATCGACAAGTCTGTAGGGCATTTTCTTAATTAATGATTGATAGGGGAGGGCCCAGTCCATTGTGGATGGTGTCATCCCTGGGCTGGTGGTCCTAGGTTATACAAGAAAGCAGACCGAGCAAGCCACGATGAGCAAGCCAGTAAGCAGCTCCCCTCCATGGTCTCTGCATCAGCTCCTGCCTCCAGGTTCCTGCCCTGTTTGAGTTCCTGTCCTGACTTTCTTTGATGATGAGCAGTGATGTGGAAATATAAGCCAAATAAAACCCTACTTCCCCAACTTGCTTTTGGTCATGGTGTTTCTTCATAGCAACAGTAACCCTAAGACACTCTTACTGTTTCTAGCATTTAGAGGCCAGATGTTTCCCACACCCTGGACCATACGGGCATGGTAACTAGGGCTAGGGCTTGTTTCCGCTGCTACCCCAGACCTGATACAGACAGCCGCAGGGAGCTGAACCACCATAAGTAGAGCATCCCTGGTGCTCAGTGACCTCCCTCCCCCAAACAGATCCTGGGCAGAAGGGTAACCCAGTGCCTGGTAGTACTCACTTAGCTTTTTAGGGAACAGACAACTAGTGGCTTCTCCACTGTTCCCAGAGGGATACCTCAGGCGAGCTCACCAGGAAGGGCTCTGATTGCCTGCTCCTTTTACGCTCACATCTCCTCCCAGCTCCCCACGCTCAGCACCTTGTACTTAGACCTCCATCAGGCTTACCCCTTCCCATCCTCACTTTCTGAGAGGCGTCCATCCAGTGTCTGTGGCCGTAATTTTCAGGCCGTTATGCCTCAGCTCAGTCGAAGGCCTCTCTTGCCTGGTAACCATGTCTGACTCTCTAGTGTCAGCATGCCATACCCTCCAGCCCCTTCATAAGCAGTCCCATGGGGTCCTGCCCAGTGTATTCAACCCTAGCCAACAGTCAAACTAGCAGCCCCGGATCAATCCCTGTAACAGCTATAAGCCAGGAGGCTTCCATCCATGCCTTCCATGGTGTAGCATACCCCGCCCCCCATACAATTCCTCTGGGCTCTGCATACAGAGTCTGCAGTTTGCAGTTTGTCCTGGCCACTATCATCTGGCCTGCAGCTGTACCACCTCTGATGCAACTGGCTGTGCAACCCTCGAACCTTGTCTCCAACCAACACTTGGCAGGTTGCCCCTGGCACTACCCTAAGCACTCTAGGCACACTGTTAATCTACTCCAGAAGCCCTGTCCAGTCACTGACAGTCCCAGTAATGTGGCTCCGCCCCTGGCCTCTCCCTAGCGCTGGAGCCCCGCCCCCATCAATCCCAGGCAGCCTCCAGGCCCCACCCTGGTAGTGCGGGCCCCGCCCCTCTCCTCACTCCGCTGGACCCGCTCACCTGGCTCTCGCGGTTGAAGTAGCTGAGTTCCTTGGGTTCCTGGCGCCTCTGCGGGATGTAGCTGAAAGCTGGCATAGCTGAGATAGGTAGGGGTCGGGGTTTGCCCCGCAGTGTGGAGGCAGAGATTTCTTCCTCCTCCTCCTGCTCCTCCTCCTCTTCTTCCCCTTTTTCCCCCTTTTCTTTCACGGGGTTCATGGCCCGCTACTCCGTCTTAGCTGGTTCCTCTGGCTAGGGAGCCCAGGCCTCAAGCATCAGCTTGTGGAGTTTCTGTGTCCCTCCTGGCGTCTGCGCTCAACCGTTGCCTGGCAACTGCGCCTTGGCCTCAGCATCCGTTGAGTGACGAGGTTGTGTTCCTTGCCACCTCCTTCTAGGTCTCACCCACCCAGGGAGACACCTACTAGCGGTTATGTGTGACTTTCCAGGTAGGAAACACCTAAGGAACCACACCCATTCTGCTACATCTGTTTGCCCAGCTCAGTTTGTTTTAAGTCTCCCAGCACTTCTCAGCTTTGCAGATCACCACAGAAAGCTTCTATGCATCCGGATCTGACAGTACAGCTGTGAAACACACAGTCCTGGGTCACAGGGAGATTACAGCCTGGAGAAGTCAGGTGACAAAGATGAGAAGGCTGAAGAGGTTCAGAACAGCGCGACCCAGCAGAAACGTGAGGACCACATGTGTGACTCTCATAATGGAAGGTTAAAGGCACAGAGGAGTGGGCGGCACACATGTGCGCCTCAACTTGCCGCGGTAGATGCATTTCACATGTGGGCTGGCGAGTAACAGAAGCAGGGGAGAATGGCTGTCCATGGGTTTTGAGGCAGCTCTGACCCCTCTCCCTCTTCAGCTACAGGAATCCCACTTTCTCCCTTCCCCTAGTCTCTCCTGGCAGATTGCCTGAGTGAAGCATGACTCAGAAAAAGACCAGGAACTTTCCCACCATGAGCCAAAGTCTCAGGGGCTTTAGCCTTGCTGGGAACCACTTAGGGAGGTGAACCCCTCCCTGGAGCTTGGAGATACGTGACAAAGGGGCCACCTCCCTTCTCCCATGAGCACAATTAATGAAAGCACGCCTGATGATATTTCTGTCCCCATGAAAATATTAGCAAAATAATAAAAAAAAAAAACCCTCTGTAATCTACTCGGAACCTTTCCAAAAACAGAGCAAGAGGGGACGGAAGGAGCCCAGGAGACTTTTCGAAGAGCCTTGTATAGATGATAAGAGACACATCTGGGGATAGCAGACGCCAATTACAGTGATGACCCAGCTCCAGCATAGCTCTGGCTGAAATAATTCCACTACAAAAATTCTGTTCACAGCCATTCAAATGTAACTCTGCTAGCTGCAAGTTCAGTAGGTGACATTTTGTTGTTAGTAAAAGAACACTTTACTAATAATGCCTTAATTAAACACGCTGACTAGTTAGCTAAACTGTTAGTGCCACATAGCCTGGGGTCACCTAAGAAAAACTGGCTTGCTGGCATGTTTGTGGGAAATCATTTTGATTGTTCACTGCTGAAGGCATATCCAGACTCTTGCACGAGCACAATTCCCAGGGAAGGTGGCCCTGGACTGTGTGTCTTCTTCCAGCTAAACGTGAATTTGCAAGCAAGCCAGCAAACAGCATCCTTCTATGATTCTACTTAGAGCTCCTGTCCTGCATTCCCTCAGGGATGAACTGTGGCCTGGAAGTGTAGGCCAAATAAACCCTTCCCTCCCCTAAGGTGCTTTGTTCAGAGTATTGTATCACAGAGACAGAGAGGAACTAGCATGCAGGGAAGGTAAGGTTTTATTCAGGGCTGAGACTGTGTCTTTCAGCTTGAGAGTAAGATCGGTCTCAACCCCAAATCCAGTCACCCTTAGAACCAAGGAGAAAGGTTGACGTTGTGCATGAGACTCTATGAAGAGAAAAGTGAGGTGTAGGGGAAATCTGGCTAAACTGGCCTAGCTGAATGCAAACCAGAGATCGGGTGTCCCCTGGAAGAGTGTGGTAAAGGGTGACCAGATGTGGGATGGAGACAGGAGGTGGGGTGGTTCTTTCTACACTGACTTTGGGTTGTTTGGTTAAAACTAAATTATGCTCAGAAAATACACAGATGGCCTGGAGAGACGATGTGTAAGACAGAAAACAACTGTTCACCTCAGGCTGTGGACCAAAGTAACAAGTACAACAAAGCACAACTCGGACTGAGTTTGTTGGGTCCATTTAAAGATGTATACAGGAATGGGTAACCTCTAGAGGCAGAGGCGACTAAAGACTTCACCAGAAGTCCACCCCGACACATGTGACAATTCACAAAAAGTCAAACTTTGGAGAATTCAATATGATCTAGACAATACCACCAGTTAGAGAGCCTTCTCCAGGAAGCTTTCCACTGCTTCCATAACCTTGAGGAGATGCCCTGTATATCCCCTTAGCTTCAGGAACTGTGTGAAACTTGTGAGTTGTTCACTTCCTGAGTTGATGAGCATTTTCCCTTCTTTCCTGGAGGGAATATTTCAATTTAGGACTTCCAGATCTTAAAGCAACCCTTCCAGAATGGAATGTTTCAACCACATGAAATTGCTAAACAAAGGAAGAAGAAGATTCAGAACTCTGGCCAAAGTTGACCAAGCAACGATTTTATGGGGACTTTTGTTCATTTGGTTTTCTAGACTGAAAACTCTTGAGGGTGAGGCTTTTTTTTTTTTTTTTTTAATCGTAAATGTCTCAGTAGTTACTCTCAGCAAGTATTTGATGTTGTTCATTTAACTTGAGTTTTCCTCTAAAGAGAATCTAAGCAGGCATTGGATACTCAGGAGTTATTTGGGAGTGTGGGCTGGGAGGACTGAGAATCAGAAGAAACCATATATCAGACCCTGGTGTTGGGTGGGGACCTGGAAATTGTACAACCCATAACACTGAGATTGGCATTTGAAATGCAAGCGGGTCATGTCCACATCGCCACCGCAAGCATGTGGAGGCTGGCCATGCCCAGAGAGCACCTCTGAGATTGCATGTGATCAGGATGGACATAGGCTGGACCTGCTCCCATCTTTCCATGGAATGAGCCAGCAGCACTTAAATCCAATGCAGGGGGAGGGGGGCTGGGAGTATAGAGGTGAACAGACAAACAGAACTTTCAACTCTTGAGGTCTTGATTCCTTTTTTAAAGAATAATTTCTGTGACCCCATTGTGTATTCCAGGTACCTGGATAGAATTCAAGGGAAAGCAAACAAGTTCAATGTGTCTATGTGTCTAAGCCCCATGTCAGGAGGTGGGGGCATGAAGATCCTCCTCTAAAAGAAAGTTACTAGAATAGAGACAAACACACAGGGATCAGATCAGCCTTGTTTAAAATGCCAATCTCGGTGTCACAGGATGTGCCATTTCTAGGTCCCAGCCCAGCAGCAAGGACTCTTCGCCCAGAGCTGCCACTGGTATCTCGTTTTACTTACCTGTCTTGTTCAGCACTGTCTGTCACTCTGTACTTCCTTTTACACTGCTCTGACGATGTGTAAACTGTGCATACTAACGGCTGTGTGCCTGACATAGAAATCCTATGGACCAGACCCCTGCTGCCTACATGCTTCCAAAGAGAGGTTCCATGAATTCAGAGAAACAGGCAGGTCAAGGGAGGTCAGGGGATGGGGCCCACACAGCCATGGACAGCCTGAGACACTTGGTTAGATGCCTTCCTGCTAACCCGAGATGGCAGGGAGAAACGAGAGGAGACCGCTGTCTGGTCGCATTAGCTGTCACTGCAGCACATCTTGAGGCATATACGTTCTATATTTATACTGAATTCTCGTGCACCCTCACTGAAGCTAGGAAAACCCATCCAGCTCCTTAGATGGATGACAAAACCGAGTTGCGGGGAAGCTACATAACGAACAGATAATTATTGTGCTTTAAAATAGCAACATAAACTCATTTAAGTGGCCCAATGTAATTGGACTTTAGTTCACAGCATCTAACATATCTTAAAGTTAATTGACATAAGCGCACCTTCGCATTTGGTATGTTTGGGACCTTAAGGGATGGACCTATATGCACTCATCTGTGGTTCAGAGGAGAGCTGCCTACTGTGAGTCCCTGCAAATTTAAAGGGCATCATGAAGTCAAGCATACAGGTGCAATAACATGTTCCCACTGGTCTCTAAGTCTATGCCGAGGCCATGGGGAAAAAATGAGGACTAATGAGTAAGAAGAAAGCCACTGTCCATCTTAACTAAATCAGGACATGGGCCAGGGCCCACAGTGAGGCTGAACAAGCTTTTACTTCATTAGATTTCCTGTCCTTAAATTTTAAAGAAAAGAAGACATAAATATTGTCAGTGGTGTAGAAAGCATGAGTGTCACTGGCTTTTACATTTGGCCGACTCACTGAACCAAACAAGTCCCTGTGGTAACTTAAGCATCAGACTCTTCTTCCTGCTTTACAGACAAATGCAAGGTAATCAAGAGGAATGATAGAATTACAAAACCCGTTTGTTTGTTGTTGTTTTGTTTTGTTTTGTCTTTTTAGATAATGTTTTGGGGCAACTGCTAGTCAGGTAATGGATCTAAGCCACAGTCAGGGAAAGGTAAGGGAAAGGGAGGAGAGAGAGAGAGAGAGAGAGAGAGAGAGAGAGAGAGAGAGAGAGAGAGAGAGAGGTGAAAACTGACTGAAACTAAACCCTGGGTGTCACTCAGTGGGAATTATGCAGACACAGGGGCAGGTTAGATGAGAGTGAATCAGCAATGTTGGCCATTCTATAGGATAACTGATTAATTTCTCCAATAAATTAACGCTCTGAGAGCAGTCGGAGGAGGGGCAGCTGTAGTCACCAAAGGTGTAAGTGCTTCGTATCTACAACTAACGTGAGGACTTTGCATCCTGATTAAAGCACAACAGAGCATAGAGACAGCTCGAGAACCACAGCATTGCCCTGATCCGAAACCGTAGAAAGTAATTATTCTGTTAGTTGAAACAGTGGCTGAATGGTTGGTTAGAAAAATGGTTAGAAATGTGCACTGACGTATTTAGAGCAAAATGGTATAATAGCTTGGTTTTTCTAGAAGCACTCCAATAAAAAAATTAGATGGAACATGACTGAAAAATTATGGTAATTTGTCATGCTGAACAAAGGGACTCATGGATCCATTATACAATTGTTTCAGCCTTTATACGTGTTCAAATTTTTTTCCATAATAGCAGTTAAAAAACAGTGAGGTTACCAAGAGATATTGTTTCTTGTAAACACAGAGCCCAAAATATCAATTCAGCCCACAGACAATGGTTTGTTATGTGCCAGAGACTGGGGACCATTGGGAAGAGGTGTTTGCTTTTCCGAGAAATGGGATTCCAAGTGGTGTACAGGCAAAGTTTATTTTGGTGGATCCGCAACAGCAAAAGAACATTAGGACAAAGTCAGACTTTTCTGACTGGAGGAAAAGGGAAGCTGCATACTGCAGGAACCAGTCATTTGCCACACGAGGAATAGACAGAGTTCTTGTGGAATCCGGGAAAAAGCGGCAGGCCATAAAACTCAGTGAGGCTGTAGTAATGCTCAGATTAAGATACACAGGTCAAGGATAAATTTGGGTTATATATTTTATTCTGAAAGAAGTCACTTACAGGAGAAGCCTATGACCCGCAAGTTCCCGCTCCAAGGGTCCACACCCAGGCTGCTCTCCGTAACAGGTCAGGGATCCCAGACCTACCTTCACACAGGTCATGCCCGCACCTGTGCCGATGCCCCGATGGGCATGGTCAGTGCAACAGGTGTGGGCAGGGTGGACCTCTCACTACAAGGCTGGACTGGATAGACTAAAGCAGAACAACTTGTGAACACTGCCTCCTGAGATGATGCTACATCTGTGAAAGTTTCTACCCTAACCTTCCTAGTTCAGTCTCTGGTCAGAGTGGCCCACATAGCTTAGATCCTGCAGGCCACAGAGGGATGACCCATGTGTCTCAGATCCTGCAGGCCACTGAAGAATGTTCCACTCCATCAGATTTCAAACAGCATAGGTTTTTTTTGGCACTGAATCCTTAGTGCTAATCACAGAGGCAGTTATCGGAGGTTTATAGTGGTACCCTACATGTTGTAAACAGCAAGCAGTTGTGTTCCCCATTAAAGTATATTCCTTCACAAACCCTCACTATTGGCTGTATAAAACAGCTTATCCCAGGAAGGAGTGTGTATCCCATTGACACAATAGCATCCAGTGTTCACTGAGCACTTACTGCTTTCTAGGTGCTTGGGCTACAGTGTCTCATCTCACCACCACCTGTAACCCCACATCAATCCGATGCATTCTAGTTTGGGAAAATCTCAGCCTTTGTTCACTAAGAGAACTAATTTGCCTTAGTTCACTACCTGAAGCTAAGATCTTCCCCCTCAATTTGCAACATTCCAACAAGTGAGGTTTGGGATTTTTTTTAAAATAAGAACCTGATTACACCCAAATCTGAATTTTTCTCCTTCCTATTTTTGTTCTTCCTTCTGAAAATACTTGCCCACGAATGAATCGACCAGCAAAGTCCAGAAGGAAGGATTCCTGTATCCAAACATCTCCCATTCCTAGACCTGGTTCAGAAAACAAGAAGGCAGCACACATAAGGAGAATTGACTTTAGTTGTCATTGCTTTACACGGCTGACCTTCTCCTTCAGTGTACAACGCACACACACAAACACACATGTCCATTTTCTGTCTCTGTCTCTCCTCTATCTCATCTGCTCTCATCCAGGTTTCCCATAGCTCAGTCAATGCTACAAACTTTGCTGCCCTCTAGTGACTGTTCAAGAGAATATCATTCCAGCTTCCAGAGTCCCCTCACCTAACAACTTAACCTGTTTTCCCTTTTCTCTGTACTTTGTAAATATATAGCAAGATTAGACCTTATTTAAAATTATGAAATACATGGTGCTTTGAGGTATCACCTGGATATGCTTGCTGCCACAGCAAATGGACACAAAGATCAGAGGCACGGAGATTCAATTTATAGAGATCTAGCTACGACAGTTTGCCTAATTCACGCTGCTTGGTGAAGCCAAAAACTGTACTAGCTAACCTATTTTTATAACATATACTCTTCCAGGTTTTCTATTAAAAAAAAAAAAACAGATTCAGGATTAATTCTAGCCTCCTTTCCTGTGACTGTCCCCTTTGCTTTGCACCAAGCACAGCAGCCAGGGTCCCCGTGCCCCAGATGGCCACACTGATTTAAAACAAATCACTGTGACCTTTGCAGATGGGTTCTACATGTACTTCCATGGTCACTACTCACACCAGGTATGTGTGAATATTGTATTACTAGTGTAGTCTTTGCAGATTTAACTTTCTTAGGATGAGCCTTAACATGGCTCAAATCCCTACAAGAATGCCACACCAAAACCAGGATGCAGGGTGATGCACAGAAGCAGAAACACCAATAAGACCCCAATAAGATGTCCAGCCATTTGAAAAGGCAAACACACACCACACACACACACACACACACACACACACACACACACACACACACACAGAGAGAGAGAGAGAGAGAGAGAGAGAGAGAGAGAGAGAGAGAGAGAGATGGGAAATAGGCCATGTGTAGATGCCAGTACAAACTAAGGCACTCTAGGGACATTAGAAAAGGGATGAATTGGTGAAGCATTCTCTCTTTTAAGTCTTCAAAGGTACGGATCTTGTTGACACCATGACTGGACTTCTAGCCTCCAAACTGTGAGGACTACTATGACCCACACACTTTGTGGTATTGTCACAGTATCCTTAAAAGTATAAAACAAAACCTGTGCAAACTTACTCTCCATTACTGTAATCAGCCCATGACCAAAAGCAACTTGGTGTAAGAAAGAGTTTATACGTCACAGCCCATAGTGAAGCCAGGGCAGCTCAAGCAGGAGCCCAAGCAGAGACCATAGACTAAGATGCTCACTGGCTTGCTCCCTGGTTCTCTACTCAGACAGCCTTTGTTTTTATAAGGTGTAGGGATGACAATACCCACCGCAGGCAGGGCTCTTGTACATCAACTATCAAGAAAATGCTCCGCAGACATGCCCACAGGCAAGTCTGATCTTGGCCATTGAGGTTCCCTCTTCCCATGTAACTCTAGGTTAGTCAACTGAGGCAACCTGTGTCAATGTTGCTCAGGTCCTGCAGGAGGGAGGGACATCCACAATCACAAAACTCTTTCTCCGGCACTGAACACAAGTCCATGATGAGCCTGGACCTCCATTCTTACTGAGCTGTAGCTCACCAAGGCCACACTGACACAGTGTAGCCCTCATCCTCTGGGAGCCAGTCCACTACTCGGTAAAACACAAAGCGACCTAGACCCAAAGGCACCAGAGACACAGGAGGGTGGTGTCAGCGTGCTCAGCGGAGTGGTGGCTGGTCAGCTGCAGCTGTCCCTGTGCAAGGTCACAGACCAGCTGTGGTAGAACCCAGGTTTCTAGCTCCTCCCACCTGTCCTCTGAGCCTGCACCCAGACAAAGCGGGGTCCCATGTATAGAACAGTGTAGCTCCCTCTCAATCCCTCTGGGTATCAAACAAACCCAACCTAAACAGTTCCACTTTCTCACTTCCATCCTTCTTCACAAAGGTACAATGTCTTCCTGACCCGTGTTAAAAAACACACACCTCTAAGAACATGGCTTCATTGGCAGACAAATCCTAATAACAAGACATACAATTAACTGTTACTCATTACACTGCTTTATTATATTTGAATGTCCCTGCTTGACGCAGTCAAGACATCCATGACATCGGTGTTAGGTCAATTTTTTAAAATTTACCACTAATGCACATATAAATAGTACTTTATCATCAGTATACGTATACATGGTATAGAACAGCACAGACCCTTTTCAGATCCCAAGTCTGTAAACTCATTTCCATAGAGTAGCTGATTCGTAGATTCATCAGTCTTGTTTTTCACTCTGAATCCTGAAGCCGGTTTCCTTTGTTACCAATGGACAGGAGAGTTTTGAGGAAATAGTTTTCTTTGTAAATATTCAACCAACTCAAGTCTTGAGGTAAGCAGCTCCAGCTCATGGTAGGGGACCTGTCACGGGAAAGGAACCATTAAAACTTGCCTCCGGGCAACTGTGCTGCTCCTCTGCCTTGTGTGTGACCCCCTTCCTCCAGCAGAGAGAGCACTCAGGTCACCTGACTCCTGACCCTGGAGTTCCACAATGGTGGCAGATGGGCGCACACAGGATGTGAGGGCTAAGTGTGCTCATGAGGGCTAAGTAGGGGATGGAGGGGGACAAAAGGGGAAACTGAGCTGAGGGCCAATGACCCACTAGAGTTCACAAAAAGCCAGAGACAGGCCTGGCTACAGAAACAGCAAGGGCAGGGGGAGGAAGCAGAGCAAAATGGAGGGCTTGAGATGGGGGGGTGGGGGGGATGCGGCATGGGAAGAGAACAGAGAAGGATGGGGAAAGGGAATAAAGAGTGATGGGGTGGGGAGGGACCAGAGTTGGGAATCCCGGCTAGGTAGCAGGCCATGTGTCTGAGGGGTCCACCTGCGTGCAAACTGGATATCATGAATGGGCCTGAATGCTAAGACAGACATCTCTAGTTTAGGTTAAAGCAATAAACAATGGTTTCTGAGCACACACTTCATGGCTAGCTTTCAGAAAATGAATTTGGGACTGAGCATGGTACCACGGAAAAGCAGCAGAAAGCAAGCTAGAGAGGCATTAATAAGTACTAAAGACATCTGGGGGAACACATTTGTCCGTGTTTACTGCAACAGGACATGCATGTCCATGTTTACTGCAATCCCCCAGCAGACCTTACAAAGTCCCCATTGAAAGCATAATGTAAACACTATGGGCAGATGAAGACCCTGGAACCACCTTGCTTGATTTACCCACTAAATCAGACAGAAACTGAAGCAAAGGCTACTCCAGGAACTTAGCAATTCTAGGCAGTGATAAGGAAACAGGTGTGTACCACTTTGGAGAACACCAAGCTTTGAAAATTCAAAGCCTAAGATACAAACTAGACAGGACATGGTGGTCTGCTGGAGTGTCGGCTAGTTAAAACGGAGGCTGGGCCTGCCTGTAAGATCCACTAGCAGACAATAACGGAGATGGCTTGGGACCAATCCTGCCCTTGCTGGACCGCAGATTCAATCCATGCCCAGCTGGGGCCCTTGCTTACACATGAACCGATAGAACAGCAGTTAAGCTGGCAATGCACAAGCATAACTACCGTGCCCGCGCTCAGACAAGACTGCGAATAGACAGCAGGGCAGCCGTCATGGGGGGGCCACGCTGTCCACGCCCCTTCCGCCATGCTCATCCGGGGGCCCGATCTCTTCTCTCCATTCATGGGTTGCCGTTCACTCCACAGTGGTACTGGTGCCAGTGTACATAACTGAACAAGCCAACCTCGCATGGAGACTGCTTCTGAAGAGGTGCCATACCTGAACAACCTGGTAGCCCAGCAAGCGCAGGTGTCTTTGTTTAATGGCCTCTTTCCCCAGCAGGTGTTTACTGTCAGCGCAGAACCGTTGAGGCCCGTCAATGCACAGCGCCACCCTGAGAGAGCGAAGGCAACTGTCATTCAGGAAACAGGTACAGTGTTTGTCTAGTTGCCAGATTATTTGAATTTGTCTACTCCTATGTGTCAATATTATTTTTAAATGGACCAAATGAACAGATTGTCCTTTAGTCCGCTGGGAAAACGCTTAATCTTATTGTCTGCCAAACGAAAGGATTTTTGAAAAATGATAAGCTTTACTTTTTCCTTTTATTGAAAATAAATTCTTTTCTCACAACATATCCTGATTAGTTTCCCCTCCCTCCATTCCCCTCAGTGTCCCTCCCCTGCCTCCCCTTCATCTGCCCTCCAGGCTACTCCCTTCCTGTCTCTCCTTAGAAAAGAGCAGAGATAACAACCAGACACGACAAAACAAAATGTTAGGAGGGAGCAAAAGCTGTCATATCCAAGTTGGACACAGCAACCCAACAGGAGGAAAAGAGTCCGAAGAGCAGGTAAAAGTCAGAGACACACTTGTTCTCATGGTTGGGAGTTTCAGAACAATCCTAAGCTAAAGTGTCCTATGCACAGAGGAGCTGCTCCCGACCCGTGTGGTCCCTGCGCTTGCTGCTTCAGTCTTGGGAAGTTCAGTGTTTTCATTTCCGGATTCGTTCTTGTCTGCCTTAAAAAAAAAAAACCCCATCAGTTTGCTAATTCAACTCTTTAAACCCCCAGCTTTACCTTTTATGGACATCCTCATCCACTGTGAATGGCAATACAAATCCATCTTCGTCTAATTTAATTTCAACATCTGGCAAAAAGAAGAAAAGGAAAAGTTCCTCGTGTGAGACCCTCAACAACATTATCTTCCTGCGTTCCTGGTGCTGGTTTCATTTCTTCCCTATTGGCTGTATCAGAGGGCCGAGGCTGCAAAGGAATGGCCACAACCAACGGTGAGAACAGTAACAACTGGCCTATAGATCAAGCAAGCCAGCTTTGAACTAAGCAGTCACAATTACTCTGAAACAGAGCGGTGTTTCAGGCCATCTACAGCCTGCCAAGAGCCATGTACATCCTCCTCTTCCTAATGTAACAACAGGCCAGCCTGAACCCTTCAATTCTGAGTGAAGAAACCCCTTTGAGTGAAGCTCACGCCAGACAGCTGCAGACCTCACCTCCGTGTATAGGTCTGCTCTCTTCCCATGTGAGCAAAGCACCGCACACCCTGGCATGTGGCTTGTGAGCATGTGTGCATCCCTCCCTTCAGGCGAGAGAAGGTTCCCTCCAGCATCTCACAGCCCTGGCTATTAAGTCCCACATATGACTCAACGATGCCCTGACCAAGGCAAGACCCCTGAGCTACTCACCTATGGTGTAACAATAGGGTGTCAACACTTTCGATGCAAAATACAATCTTGATCCTAGAAGATCAATCAGTCCAATCACCACAGACTTGTAAAGATGGAGATCCAAAGGGGTCTCTATGGAGCAGCATGGTGTAAAGAACGATTTCACGTGGTACTGAGGAAGGAGTCTAGGGCCCTAAAATTCATGCATGCAAGCACAAGAAAGGAAAATCAAATCAAATGTCTAAGAGCAGAGGTTGAGTTGAAGGCTTCTGGGATAAAGGCTGACGCAAAATTACTATATATACATGGTGTGTTTCGAGGACATGGCACACCTTTTTCTAAAAATGACAATACACAGGAAGACTGTTATGGCTCACATCTTTTAAATGAGTAAAACACACAAGAATGCTCAATTTAAAAGTAAAACACACAAGAATGTCAGTTTAAAAGTGAAACACCCAAGAGTGCCAAGCTTCTTTGGAATGCTGGGAGTTGCTGCAAGGTCATAATCATTCTCAACTAAGGTTTTTGTTTGTGTTGTTTTTGAGACAGGGCTTCAGCCAGGCATTGGTGGTGCACACCTTTAGTCCCAGCACTCAAGAAGCAGAGGCAGGTAGAGTTCTGTAAGTTCAAGGCCATCCTGGTCTACAAAGTGAGTTCCAGGACAAGCTCCAAAGAAACACAGAAAAACCCTGTGTCAAAAAAAACAACACACACACACACACACACACACACACACACACACACACATATATGTGTGTATATATAATTTTAAAAAATAGATAAGATAAAAACAATAAAAATTAAAGACAAAAAGAAAACACATATGACATTCATAACTGTTAACTTGTCTCATCCTGAGTTCTTAAAGCTGTAGGAAGACAACTTGTAGGAAATAAACAACACCTGAAAACATATTCAACACCATTACTGAAACATGGCAGCCCTTCTCAAGAGCAAAATGACAAGGACTCAAAAACTAATAGCACTGGTGATGACATCTGCAAGTCACGGCTGTCACCTTCATTACTGTTGGACAAAGATGGTATGTATCCCTGCCAGGGGAAATGCCTGCCTTTACCCAAAATTTATTAAAGAACCCCACTTTTAAGTTCAGTGACTTTTAGAAAGGCTCAAGGATTATAAGACATTCAAAGATGTTTATTATAGCATTGTTGCCAGAGATAAATCAGAAAGAAAATCTGAAATGCTTTGAGAGCGGAATGGCAGAGCAAATGCCACAAAAATCAAAAACTGTGGCTTAAGCTCTGTATCTGGGATTTGGGAATGGCCTCAAGGTTCAGAAAAACAAACTATATCTTTTAGTCAGCCCCATTGCTTCAAATGGAAAAAAGGCAGACGGGGCACACACATTTGTTTATCTAAATCTGAGCACAGAAAGTGCTGTTCATACTTCTCTTTCGACAGTAGAAGGGATGGAGGCAACTTTTATCCTTACAGACATTAAAGCAACCCAAGCAACTTTAAAGGCTAGAGTCATGCTTTCTATTCATAAACATCATTCTTTAGACGCTCTAAGATGCACAGGGTGGAGAGTGGCAGATGTGGTAGTCAGGCCAGGGCATGTCATTTCCAACTCCAAACAAGGTGTGTTTGTTCATTACAGGGACAGTGCTGTGTGGAAAAGGATAACTCCAGCAACATCTTGGGTTTGGCTCAAGAAGGCCCTCAGGATTAAGTCTGTGTCTATTCAGTCCAGTCCAGAGACTGACACTGCACACAACAGCTACATGCAGTGTGAGGGCCTGCCGGGATCTGTAGTGAACCTCGAATGTCTGATGAAATCTAAGGAACTACGTGACAGGAAGCACATCAGCTAAGACAAGAATACTATGGAAAGGGGACATTTTCCAAAGACAAGGCCATACCACGGGATCATTCCAGCTCAAGGCAAAGTTCTGCATCCCTGGGGGACTTAAAGCCACGACACCCATGTCTGTATTCTCACCTTATAGAAAGCACACTCTAGGACTGAGGTCATGAAAAGCTGGGTAAGTTGTGCCAGGCTCACTCTGTCCAAATATGACTCTTTACCTGAAAAAAAATAAATTGTGGAGTTTGAATTTTGGCACCATGCAAAATGAGGGATTATGATCATAAAACAATTCATTCACTTGTAAGGTACATGCTTTTAAATGGCATTAGAGTTATGAGTCAATGTAAACAGTACACAAGTACATCCCAGATTACAACAGTTAATTTTTTAACCGCCTCACCTTGCAGCCGTTGAAGAAAAAAAGGGCTGAATATTTTTGACATAAAGTTGACCGGATGGCGTTCAATCAGCGAACATGAATGTAGGAGCCTCAGTAGCATTTTTGGCGGAAAATGACGGAAACGAGTGACCAGCACGCTTTCTAGCTTCCTAAATAAAGCAGGGGCATTTGGTGGCAAATAATTTAGCTTTCCAAAGGGTTCGATTAATTCAGAAATCTGACTAGGTGAGAATTTTTCTGACTGGCAAACAAAAGTCTCGGCAACTGCATCGAGGATGGGCTTGGAAAGAATGCGCTTTCTACTGCAGTACTCCATCACGGTGCTGGTGACCTCGGGGTCCAGGGAGAGGTACAGGGCAGCTACATGCTGTTCTAATGCCTCCATGAGAAACCTGTCACTGTGTCCAAAGTAAAGAAACGCCTCCAAGACCTTCCTGAGCTCTTCATTAGTAAAACGAGGAATGTATCTCACAACGTACTTGCCCAACTTTATAACCAGGGGAAGAGCGTGAGTCTGGTCAAGAGCCACTAAGGCGGTGAGCACATGGCTCACAGATTTAGGACTCAGGCAGGAAACTATTGAGAGGGAAAAGTTGTTTAGTGTGTTTAGAAATGTCTGGTGTTTGTCCACTTTTCCAGGACACGCCTGCAGAATTCTATACATGGCCACAATATCCTCTGTGGAAAACGTTTCCAAATTTTCACGCTGCAGTTGACAAAGGACCAGTCCCAGTGCCTCACAACCTGAGCCTTGAAGTCTAACCAGGCTCTCCCCAAGCATACAGAGATGGTGGGCTTCCAAGTCGCCTCTCCGGAGACGCCGCTGGCATTCCGCCACGAGGCTCAGTATCAGGGTACTTTGAGGATCCACGGGCAGAGCCTGCAAAGCAGATACCAAGCCAGCACTGGTCAGGTGTGAGGGATCCCGCTCACACTGACAGCATAAATCTTGGAAGGCGCTGTTCTCCAGGATTCCTTTTGGCAGCCTTTGCTCATCGTGTCTCTTCCCCACCTCACAAACCCTGTGCAAGGCTGCTGACGCCACAGTGACCGGCACAGTGTCCAGGGTGCTTATGAAACTCAGCACTTCTTCTGGGGAGATGCAGCTGTTTAGTCTCCTAGAAAGCATCTCTTCATCCTTGTTCTTAAGACTACATTCCGGCCGGTTCCATTCCTGTTCTCTGGAGAACCAGGGCTCAGCAACTGGGTGAAGGTCATTGCCATTTTCTGAGCGGAAACGTTTACAGTAGGAATGATGGGATCTGACCCCAAACAGCTCGGGTTGTAGGGAACAGAACCAAACACTGAGACGACCTTTGACTATTTTCTGGACGTGATTATTGGCAGGGTGAATTTTCAAAGCAGCCACAGATCCAGGTACCCAAAAATCAGATACATGACACAAGTTTCTCCACAGGGTGATTAACGCCATGCCATCAGATTCACAACTGTTAGCATGAGAACAAAATAAAAAACACCATGGTCAAACATATTGCGAAAGACAACTTAACATCAGTGTTGACAAAACTAAGAATGAGTATCCCATGACAAATACTAAAACACAAGAACCTCGATAAAATATACATTTAAAAAAAAAAAAAAAAGCAGCAAGGTTGCTCTTCCTAGGAGCAAGAAAATAAGACAACCCGGGAACCCTCTTATCCCTTCCTTCTCTGGTCCCAACCTCCATATCTAATTGGCTGCCACTCAACAATGTCACCATAACTAGACAGGCTACCCGCCAAAATCCTGCACACCCCTTTCTAGCCAGTGTCACAAAGTGTGTGTGTGTGTGTGTGTGTGTGTGTGTGTGTGTGTGTGTGTTTTAATGAACTATGCCTTAAAAATAAACTCCTTATGTGTACTAAGGATCTCTCTGAATTAATGTTTTATGTCTACTAGCATGCCCTTTTCCGGCTGCAGAGCACACATGGTGCCTTTACAAGGGTGTCTGTCCTCTTCAAGGACCAAGTTCTATGGTATGTGTGTGTATACACATATATGTATCTTTTTTTTTTTTTTTTTCCTTTTAAAGACTGGAGGAGCAACCCGGCTCGAACCCGGACTTTGAATTTCCGCACGGAAACTACCACGGAAAAGCAAGCGGCGCAGGGTAAACGGCACAGGCAGGAGCGAACAGAGCAGGCGGGAGCGCGAGTCGGGGGCTGCGGGCGGCGATCGCGATGGAAGAGCCGGGGGACCCACCCGCACGGAACTTACCGAGCGGACCCGAGCCCGGGGGACACGCGCGGAGCTCCCGAGCCCGGGAAACGACCGCGCGCAGACACCGTCCCTCGCCGGCCGGACACCGCGGGTACGCACGCATGCGCGCGCGCCGCGCTCAGGCACCGCCCACATCCGGCGTCCGGCGATTGGCCCAGGTCCCGCGGGCATTTCTATTGGTGGGGCGTGAGAAGTGTGCGCGCGCCTGCGCAGTGTTCGCAGGCGGTGCCGCGCACGAGTTCGCGGCTGCAGGTACGCGGCTCGCGGGTGGTGGGGAGCGACTGGGACCCACGGGGATCGGGGTGATGTCGCTGGGTGTCCGGGGCCACAGGGGGAGCGGCAGGGTGCTGTGGGGAGGAGGCTGCTTTGCCACCCTTTCCCCAGACCCCGCGCGCCCCGCACGTGTGGCGTTGGCCCCAGCTGGGACTGTGTCCCAGCTCTTGTCAGGTCCTTAGTTCTGTTTCATAACCAGCCTGGTTTTGTGTCCCGGCTCGCCAGCAGATGAGCCGCAAGAGCATGCAACTGCAGTCGGTTCGCTCACCCAAAGTCGGCTTCCTACAAATGCACAACCTTTCGGGGTGCTTGGGATCCCAGTACCCCACATCTGTGTTTTTAATTTTACTCTTGGTTATCTCCGTCCCCGTGTGCAGGTCCGTGTACACTTACTACTTACTGATGTGTGTAATAGTGGGAGCCCCAGTGATGGCCAGTTCTGCGAGTTAGGACCTCCCAGCAAATGAGTTCCCCCAGGCTTGGCGCGGGAGGGGGGGGGACCTTGTTCGGTTACAGTTGTTAACAGGAAACAAAAAGACCTTTGTAGGTCAGGCCCCTCACGGTGTCATCGTTAATCATGCAGGCTTAACGATGCTAATTGCGCATACATAAGCGAATGAAGAGGTGAGGGTCAGCTCACTCCTCCCACGAGTGTGCGCTTGTGGGGAGTGGATTTGTGAGCAGTGCAGTTAAGAGTCTCGCTTCTGCATGAACACTATGGTTCCTTTAAAATGAGTGCTAAGAAACAAGTGTACAGATTGCAGTAAATGACTGCCTGTGGGTGGCCTGCTTCATTAAACAGCAGCCCCTTCCCCCTTTGTGGTTTTTCAGTCCTGCTGTTAGAGTTACAGCCCATGACCTGAGGTGATGAGAAGGTTTTTGTTACTGTATGCTACACAGCGAGGACAGGCGAAGGCCATAGCAGAAGAAATTAGTGAGCAGGCTGTGTCACATGGGTTTTCTGCAGACCTTCACTGTATCAGTGAGTCAGAAAAGGTAAGAGCAGCTGTTCGTGGTTTTTCCTGTACTGTGTTCTGTGAAATGGTTGCTTGTGAAATTAAGCTCTATGCCCACCCCTCTCCACTGTTTTGTTACTGGGCATCACCCACGCCAGCTTTCAACTCACTGTAGCCCAGGCAAAACTTGAACTTGAACTTGGCAACATCCTGCCAGCCAATTGAGATTAAACAAAGAAGTATACATTTGAATTAGGTTTAAAAAAAAAAAAAACTTAGAAACTAAATTGGACAGATACTACAGACCTGTGGTAAATCATTCAGTTATCGACAGTGGCCATGAGGACAGATGGGACATTTTTGTTTTTGTGTGTCTTTTTACACATCTGTATTTTTCAACCTTATAAGCATAATACCCCTTTGGATTCCCTAAAAAGACCTTGCAATCATTGTAATGTTTGGGCTTCCTCAATGAACTGGAATTTACAGAAGTGGCTTCAGGATCCAGTAAACAGTATGTGTAGTCACAGTTTCTCTGAGAAGCCCCTGCATTAGCCAGAGTTGATAGGCGCTTGAGGGTTCTATGCCCAGCTCTCAGTCTGAAGGGTCCAGAAAGCACTGGTCCCAGAAGTTCATATGGTAAGACTTTAGGCAGCTGAATGCTTGTGCTGGCTCCTAGCCCTCGAATGCCCTTCAGAACCTCAGAAGCCATCTGAACAGTGCTCCCTCCCTCCAGTTCAGTCTCCCCTTGCCTTTCACAAACCTCAGTTTCAGAAGGCTAGATCAGCCATGGCATGGTGAACTATGATTTATGCTGGTCAAAGGAGACACCCTTTAATGTGCCTCTGCCAACATGTTTGTAGAGGACCTTCCAAGATCACCACCAGTCAGAAAGCCCTGTCATTCAGCAGTAGCCCAAAGGAAACATACCACCATGTAATAACAGGCAGATGTTGTAATAAAACCAGCCCCATTGGGCCTTAGGTTGACCTCTCCCTAGTCAGGTTGGCATCCGTTTGGTGGGAAGGTGAGTGGTGGTTTTTCATGGGAACCTGGCTGTTTGTTCCCTCACTGAGCAGTTTCTCAGTTGAGCATGATCTAAGTTGAGAGGATAGCTGTCTGTTGCCTACCTCTTAGTAGTCCTGTTCATAGTACCTTGTAAGCATTTAACAGCCTGGTAGACAGTTACTAAAAGTCCTTACCCATAGACATGGAAAAGAAGTTATGCTTTATTGCAGCTTTGCGGTAGGCTCTGCGTTGTATCGGGAACCACTAAAAGGTAAAATTGGGTTGGGGCAGCATGCATAAAGCCTACATATAATCTGGGTGTAGTGGCATACACCCATAGTTGAGTATTTGGGACATGGAGGGAGAAGGATCAGAAGTTCAAACCAACCTTGGATGCATAATGATTTTAAGGCCAGCCTAAGACTTCTGTCTCAAAAAACATACAGTGAATTCTTTGAACCTAAACTAGCTTATGTTCATGAGCATACCAAGGATTAAGAGCATGGGCCGTATCCATTTCTTTTCACACTATTCCAAACATGAAAGGAATGAGGAGTTGGTCTTGACAGGCAGCTGCTAACAAGGGCAACGCTTAATTTCCCCTTTAAAATAACCCTCTGTTCATCTGTGTGCCGTTGCACCTGACCAGATTTGATGAAGATCCCAGAAGCAGTCTGCGGTCTGCATTTTTTTAGTTTGTTAGCTGAGACAGGGGCTTGTAAGGAGTACAGTTTTTTCCTCCCGCCGCCTAGTCTTGTCCCACCGCACCAGCCCCAATTAACACACAGAGACTCTGTATTTGATATAATGCTGTTGGCCCGGTTACTTGTTTCTTATCTGCTTGCTAACTCTGTCTTAATTATTAACCCATTTCTATGTATTTCCACGTGGTCTTACGAGCGAGAGGCGGCTGGCGGTTCTATTCTCTCCAGATTCTCCATCTTGACTCTCCTTCCTATTTCCTCTTTCTTCCTTGTCCCCTAGTCCTGCCTATCTTGCTTTCCTATTGGCCAACAGTGCTTTATTCATTAAACCAGTATGAGAAACATATTTACAGAATCGCATCTCCCATTAGGGGCTCACTGTACAGTGTTGGGTGACCTGGAGGTCACCATGTAGACCAGGCTAGCCTTAAATTCATAGAGAGCCACCCACCTCTGTCCCTTAAAGTAATGGGACCAAAGGCGTGTGCCGCCACGCCTGTCCCTGTTCTGTCTTAATCCTGATACTCACTGTCTGTTCTTTTTGTTTCTGTCTCACCTTAACCCTATAAAACCCCTTAGCTCTTTTTACTTTCATATGTAGTTTTCCTCCTACCGATTTTCCTACCTTCTCTTGCTTCTTGCTTGTCCTCCTGATGCTTTTGATGAGCTTTTGTTCTCATGTTTTCCTAACTAAAGAACCCAATGGCAGGGGTTGAGGGACCCCAGACCTTTTCTTAGTGAAGCGCATGGCGGAAAGATGTGTTAAACTCTCCTAGCCTCCTGGTGAACACTGGCAAAAGTGAACTAAAAAGGCAGTGTTCCTTCCTACCTGGTCATTAGTGTTTGTTACAGTAACTTGGCAAGAAGGAAAACTAAAAGGAAGTGTGCAAAACAGGAACCTGGCTGATTGCTTCCGCTTGCTTTGTCTTACTCTTGCAATTCTATGTCCTGATTTGATCTCCTTGCTTTGTAGTATGATCTGAAAACTGAAACTGCTCCTCTGGTAATGGTTGTGTCCACCACGGGGACTGGAGATCCACCCGACACAGCCCTCAAGTTTGTTAAAGAAATACACAACAAGACCCTACCCACAGACTTCTTTGCTCACCTGCGGTATGGATTACTGGGTAATGGACTATATTTTGTTTTTAATATATGCAGTTAATGATTTGATATAGGAATATGTCTTTCAAAATCATGAAATATAGTTGCATTTATCTTTTTACATAATTATTATATCTACATAAATACAGAAATATCAGTGATTGTCTAGTTTATACTCAAAAACAATGCCCTGGTCCTCCTCTCCCCTCCGTCCTGGGTGTATCTGGGGACCAAACCCAGGTCCTTATATCTTAGGGGCCAGCTCTGTTTCTTCAGAGTCCCGCATTGTTACAGTAACTCATGGAAACGGCATTGTCAAGTATGTGTATTTCTCTGACCAGTAGCCAGTATCTATTTTGTTACTGTTGGGTGCTTTCATGATGTGCAGTAGAGGAACATTGCATGCTTAGCATTGCTGAAAAAAATAAGGAAATGTGGATCCATGCATTATTTCTTGCTGTGTAGGAGTATGGGATAGTATCTAGACATTTAATTTCTGCATCTGTTACATCTTTGAGCCTTTATACACACTGAATATCTATTTGGGTTCTCCAGGTTTGGGTGACTCAGAATACACATACTTCTGCAATGGAGGGAAAGTCATCGATAAACGACTCCAGGAGCTTGGAGCCCAGCATTTCTATGGCACTGGACATGCCGACGACTGTGTAGGGTAAGAGTAGTGTGTGTGTCTGTTTTCAGTAAACCCATACACATGGTGCAAGTTGGTGAGCTTATAAAAGATGTTTGGCTTGGTTTAGCACTGCCAGTCATCTGAGTCTTGATTAGTTTCAGCATTTATCCAGAACCCAGGAAGATCAGACGACCAGAGCCTGATTGGCCTGTGTTGTCGTGTCCCACACAGAGTATGGACGTATTGTAAGAGTGAGTGCTTTTTCTGGCAATATTGGTATTGCCTGTGTGCTTCTCTCTGCCCTGCACACAGGGGCCCTGTTAACATCTCCTCTAGTGGAAGGAGCCCTCAGGCCAAGCATCACTGACCATGGGATGTCTTGGATGTCTTTTACCATCCTAATGGTGTGCACTGTTATTTCATTTTTATTTTTGCAACTCAGTATTTGAGCCTGGGCACAGCCTTCCAAATCCTCTAACATGTTTCTTTCCAGTCTTCAGCGTTGTCCTGTCACAGTCTGCTACTTAGCCTTTAACTATCATTATTGTAACCAAATAATAGTACACATTTTGGGGTTTGTTTTTTTTTTTTTTTGTTTGTTTGTTTGTTTGTTTGTTTTGGTTTGGTTTGGTTTTGGTTTTAGTTGTTTTGTTTTGTTTCATGTTTGTTTTTAACCAGGTAAAAATGCTGAATGAATTTCTAGTCAGTGTTAGCAAATAGCCTGCTTATGGGATACTGACATCAATGCTGTGCGCTTCTCAGCTCCCCTGTTCTGGGTGTGACGGGGACTTCTCATGTTCCCTCTCTTCCTGTGTGTCGCCTGAGCATTCCTTGATTTCCTTCAGCTCAGTGCTGGGCAAGGTGCCTGTCTCTGGTGCATGTTTTCTCACGGGACAAAGTTCTGACATTGTCCACACTATCTACCCTCTCTGCGGCTTTATTCTGAACTGCCACTGTGAGCTTTGTTTGACTGTAGGATAATGCTCATATCAGTCTATTAGGTTGCTTTCCTGTGATACTGCACATCAATCTCTTCGGAGGGTCTGGGTCATGTATTTGATTGAGTATTAAAGTCCCTGAGTATGCTTCAGTAGTTTGTGCATCTAAGATGTTCAGTCTCTCTGCTGTATGTGTCCACAGTGAAGGTGTTTTGCTGAAGACATTCTTGTCTGAAGTCCCTCCACGCTGAAGTTGAGAGTGCACTTGGACTCATGTGACTGGGATGAAATCTTCCATCCCCACTTGCCCAAACCTTTGCTCACTCATCTTTCTGTGCCTGTGATAGAATAGCAGGATGCACTATGAGGGTTTGGGGCATGGTCAGGCAGGTCGGTGCTCAAGGCCTAGGACCATGCTTCTTAACAGTGGGCTCCCTTCACAATTACTGGGAGCCTTGTCTGACTACTCAGTTACAGGAGTGATGCCTTACATGTAACTTACCACTGAACTTGCTTTCCTGAAGATTCCCCAGGATAAATGCAGTCTATTGCACACCAACCCCTAATGAACACAGTGGGATTACACTCTGAGTCCTAGAAAAAGAGGCCTGAGATGTGCCTCCTGATAGTCCCCTAATGTGGTGATTAGGTTTGAAGCTGCCTTTCAGTTGAGATGAAATTAATTTAGAATGATTTCTTGATGATACCTGTAGGAAAAAGATCAATCAACTTAATAGGCAAAATGATATGGTGACTTATACTTATAACATGAGTATTGCTAAGTTCTGTTAGTGTCATCAGGGTTACACACTTATAAAGCGTTAACTCCCTAAAATGGCGACTGAGGGTAATTAGATTCCCATTATGGGGCATAAGTCAGCTTGTTTGCTCTGTTTGCACGTTCAGTTGTGCAGTGCTAATCATCACAGTGCTATGCTTCTGAAAATTGATTATTTGTGTTTTTGGAATAGTCTGCTTTGTGCATCTGCAGTCGCATGTAGTAGACTGCTGAGTGGACCGACTGCTTTCTTTCATTGTTGTGCTCACATGGGCGACTTAGACATTTGGTTTTTCCCCTTTTATTACATACCAGTTTAGAGCTCGTGGTAGAGCCATGGATTGCTGGACTCTGGGCCGCCCTCACAAAACACTTTAAGTCACTCGGAGGACAAGAAGGAATGAGTGACATGCTCCCACCGGCATCAGATGCCCCCTTGAACACCGACGTGAAGCCAGAGCTGTTACACATCCAGTCACAAGTTGAACTTCTGAGATTAGAGGATGCGGGAAAGAAGGATTCTGAGGTTTGGGAACAAAATGTATCTAACAGGAGTCAGAGGAGTGAGTTGATTGAAGACTTTGAGTCCTCGCTTGTCCACTCAGTTCCTCCACTCTCACAGACCTCTCTCAGTATTCCTGCTTTGCCACCAGAATATTTGGAGGTTCATCTTCAGGAGCCTCTTGGCCAGGTGAGAGGTGTACTTCATAATCGTTAACTGTGAGCACCTGCCTTGTGCTTGTTTGTCACATTAGGCCAGAGATGTCTGAGCCTCTCGGACCAAGTGCAGCATCTCCAGCTGTAACTACGGTTCCTGCAGCAACCATGCCTATTGCGTGAAGGAGTAAGGTTTTTCTGCCCGCCGCCTGATCCAGTCCCGCCACTGCGCCAGCCCCAATTAACACACAGAGACTCTGTATATGATATAATTCTGTTGGCCAGTTACTTGTTTCTTATCGGCTAGCTCTATCTTAATTATTAACCCATTTCTGCTGATCTATGTATTTTCACGTGGTCTTCTCTTACTGGGGAGCCGGCCAGCATTCTGCTTTCTCCAGATTCTCCATCCTGACTCCTCCTTACTGCTTCCTCTTTCCTCCTCATCTCCTAGTCCCTCCTATCTTCCTTTCCTATTGGCCAACAGTGCTTTATTCATTAACCAGTATGAGAAACATATATACAGAATGACGCCTCCCATCAATTGCGCTGTGCAGTGTCTACGGCTTCTTTGTATGGGGAATGCACACCAGAGGTCTACAAAGAAGGAAGCACTTACTGCCTGAGCCTTCCAGAAAAACTGTGCCCAACTCCATGTTACGAGTGGCTTGATGTTATGGGTGCCCTTTTTACATCTGTGATGTAGCTTCTCATGGTACCACCCTCACTCTGTCTTCACTTTCCGGACCCCCAGCCTGCTCACATCATCTCTCAGGTGCTCTGAGTTTATCCAGCCCTCCCCTGCAGTTCAGAACCTCTGCATCCCACCCACCTTGCCCATGCTCGTCCCAGCTTTGTTGGACTCCCCCACTCTGGATTTACATTGCTGTCCGTGCTGTACCTCTGCCTTCCATCTGTCACAGTGCAGAAGGTCTCATCACCCAGATGGTGTCCAGCACCAGACTCCCGTGTTAGCAGCCTGCTCTAGCACTAAATGTCAGACTGTAAAATGTTTTTCATGGCAGTCGTGTGGGGCTGGAGGGGTAATAGCAGGATTAGACACAAGAGTCTGAGCTGTGGTGCATTCTCAGCTGAGGCCTCAGCCTCTCATGGGCTTCTCGGAAAACGTGCCGGTTCTTAATGGTTGTCTAGAATCAAGATATCAGCCGGGTTTATGGTCACCATAGTCCTTGGATTTGGACTGCACTGTGAAAGGAGAGGGGGCTGAGTGCTTCCTGCAGAGCTCGCTGAGGACTGAGCTGGAGCTGGTGCAGTTCTTTTGAGGGTAACATTCCAGGGTCCCCCCCAGCCAGGGCTCCAGCCTTCCTGCATGGCCAGTTTTCCAAAATTAGTTGGCTTACATTTGTTCAAATGTTTTCTGTTTTTAAATAAGATAAAATCGAACTAGAAGAGGAACTGGAAGATACCACAAAGAATTAGGTTTCTGAGAACTGTGCTATCTTTACAGGGCCACTGGTTACAGAACCCTCTGAAGTAACAAAAACTGAGCATACCCTTCCACCATCAGGCCTACTCACCAGTAGGCTTAGCTAGCCCACCTGCTAGTTCCAGGCTCTGCCTGTCTCATCTTCTTCAGTGTTAGGAGGACAAATGCATGCTGAACCTGAACTTTTTAATGTGATTCTGGAGGTTGCAGTTTATTATATTTCATCCCATTTGTTTCTCAAGGAGGAATGCCAGACATCTGTAACTTCAGTAGATCCAGTCTTTCAAGTTCCAATTTCAAAAGCTGTTCAGCTGACTACAAATGACGCTGTAAAGACCACGCTGATGTTGGAATTGGACATTTCAGTGAGTTGTTTCGGAGTTTATTCTCGTCATGGTTGTATCGTGATGAAGGTATTCAGGCCTTTTGGGTGCTTGATTACTGCACCCAGGAGGAGATGTCTCTGGCAGGATGCCTGGCCGTTTTATCCCTGATCTGTCATTTTCCCTGCGCCTCTTTCCCTTCTGCTTCAAAGAATCAATGAGATGAGATATAATTGGCCCTGATGGTACAGAGCCCAGCACCTTGACCATGAGAGAGCAATGGGGTTCAGACGGCTAGCGGAAGGAAGCTGCTCACTTAAGAGCAGCCAGTGAGGGGAAATAAAGTTCAGGCTAGATGGTCAGGAGAGTGCCAACTTCTCAGAGCACTACTTCCCATTCTTTGAAGACTCTGAAAAGGTTCGGGGACCTCTCCAGAGAGGTGATAATGAGAGCATTTGCCTGTAGTGTCAGAGGGCTGTACGTGGTCGTTGGAACCCTATCTGTGAGTCCATCTGCATCTGCTCCTCTGAGCGTTGCTATAGCCAATAAGTCAACCTTTATCATGAAGAATGTCCCCAGAAGATCAGAGCACTTCAGGTTGTCTGTGAACCTTCAGTAGAGCTTCCTGATAGAAAAAGAAATGACAGCCATCAGACCTGTACTAGTGAGAAAGTTTTGTGTCTGTACTAGTGCACTGTGTGTGCATGTGTGTGTGCATACGCACGCACATGCCTAGGAAGCCTGGAAGATACTGGTAGGAATTTTCCAGGAATACTCCCCATCTCATTCGCTGATGCATCGTCTCTCAGTCAAACCCGTAGCTCTCCAGTATGGCTGGTCGTGGGCTGTGGGGTGTGCATACCCTGTCTCCACCTTTCAAGGCTGGGTTTACAGGTGGGCACACACCCAGCCAGCGTTTATATGGATTCTGGGAATCTGAACTTTGCAAACTCACTGGCTAGAGCTTTATTCCCTCCTTGCATAGTTTTGTTTTCTAAGATGATGTCTCACTCTGAAGACAAGGCTGGCCTCTGAATTCAAGAGATTCGCCAGCCTCTGGCTCCCCAGTGATGGGATCAGTGGTGTGCACCAGCACACACCCCTTGGTCTTTTCCAGAATGACTAATGAAAGTGTTTGGTGATGAATGGACTCACTCAATTTCACCTTGGTCCTTCTCTAGAAAATCAAGTTTTCCCATCAGCCTGGAGATTCCTTCAATGTGATCTGTCCAAACAGTGACTCTGAGGTAGAAGCCCTGCTTCAAAGGCTGCAGCTGGCTGATAAACGAGCATACCGTGTCATCCTGAAAATTAAGGCAGACACTAAGAAGAAAGGTAGGACAGATGCTGGATGTGACCAAACGCACACATGCATGAACAAATACACCTAAGACACACACATAACCACAAGCAAATCTGGTGCTGACCGGTTCTTGATGCTATTCTTATTTATACTGAGTAGTGTGGTAATGGACACTAGTGGGCATGAAAGGAGCCCAGAGCCTTTATATAAAATTCCCATTATGTTTACTTCTCATAGTAGTATTATGTAAAAGTAATTTTCTGTAAATAGAAGATGTTTCATTATTTAAAATATTAATATTATTTGTATATAATCTTGAACTTACTCAGTCCTTAACTTCCTGTTTTTCAAAAATAGGCTTTTTTATTTTTGTGTCTGTAGTGTGTGTACCACATTGTGTGGGTACCTGGTTGAGGCCAGAAAAGGGTGCTGGATGCCCTAGAGCTAGAGTTACAGGGTGTAGGTGCTGGGGACTGAACTCGGGTCCTCCAGAACAGCGGGAACACTTAGTAACTGAGCCGTCTCTCAAGCCACTGAGGTTATTTTTAATTTTAATGGAACTTGATCATCTTTTTCCATTTTGTTTAGACAATTTTATTTTATTTGGTACATCTTGAATTTATCATTCTTTTACTTTTGTGAAGTGGCTGCCTTTTCCTGGCATATTTATTTCCGCCAGTGGCTCCTTGAACATTGCCACAAGTCATCACATTTGGTAGCACTGTAAGTGTCTCAGCTAGCTGCGTTTTGGTGAATGCAGAACATGTTCTAAACATGTGTTTGTGGTTGTCGTTTCTCTGGCCTGACTCCTCCTGCCTCACCTGCAAGGAGCTGCTATGCCCCAGCACGTGCCCGAAGGCTGCTCTCTCCAGTTCCTCCTCACCTGGTGTCTGGAGATACGGACAGTTCCCAAAAAGGTATTTCTCTGTCTTCTGAGAGTAATTCTGTTTAAGTCTCTTAGATAAGCCCAATGTTCGCCCCTTGGAGCTATACAAAATAGGAGTTAGACGTCTTCCTAATGCCATGAAAACAGGTCTCCTTCAGCCTCCATTTCAGCTGACATTAATGTTACTCAGTAACAGGCAGCAGCCTGGCCGTCAGGCTGCACAGCGCTGTCTTCTCCTCTATGATGATGCTTCTGAGGGCGTGTGGGGCTCTCACCCCCTCTTCATCACCTGCTGGATTGTTGTAGATCTGCTTGGTTATTTTGAGTGGGGAATGGAAGGGTTTGGCAGCTTCTATTGATGTTTAGAGGGATTTTTGAAACAGACTGAGCCACTAGAGGTCAGTGTTACAATCAGGAACTGTATTTCAAATACTTGCAGCTGGGTTTGTTTGGGTTTTTGTTTGGTTTTGTTTTTGTTTTTTTTTTTTTCTCTAAACATTTCTCTGAATAGCTGCAATTCTCTAAACTGCCGTGCTGGACTTTGTCTGAGCAGACAGACTGGTAATTAAAGACAGGCTTCCATCTTCCATTTTGTAGGTGCCTGCTGCCTTGCTGGTCTTGGGAAGCAAACAGCTTTAGAGAAAGGCTGAGCCTTAGACACAGAGCTCACTTTGATGAGAGCTTAGGTTTAATTAATTCAGTTTTATTTTAGCTTTACCAGCTTTTTCAATTTCACAAAGTATATGTAATTATATTTTCTATACAAAATATGCTGTATTAAAATATCTGTATGGGTGTGATATCACCCATACAGATATTTTAGTCAAAGTTTCGGAGTTTAATTCTGGAATCTTACTCTTTCTTGTTCCACAGCAAGGCATCAAGTCTATGTTTTCCGGGATGGAAAGAGTGAAGGTGTTTTCAGTGCATGCATTACATCCGTTGTTTGAACATGTACCCCTGGGTTGTTTGCAGATTTTTCCATGGGGGAAAATGTTTAAATAGAAATTTCTACACTGTGACAATCTCTGTGCCCATGTTTGAAACCTTTGTGTAAAATTGGTATTTTAAATGATTTATACTTTAAAACCTTGCAATGGTTTCTGCCGCCTCGGCTTGGTCTCGCTTCCATTTCTAAGGTATTTTATTTATTATTTGTTTACTGGCCTGGCGCTCACAGAGCTAGCTAACCCTGACTTCTTTACTCAGGCTCTTTTGCGCGCCCTGGTGGACTATGCCAGCGACACTGCGGAAAAGCGGAGGCTGCAGGAGCTGTGCAGTAAACAGGGGGCAGCAGATTACAACTGCTTCGTCCGGGACGCCAGTGCCTGCCTGCTGGACCTCCTCCTCGCCTTCCCGTCCTGCCGTCCTCCACTCAGCCTCCTGCTCGGTGAGTCGGTCTTTCCTCAGCGCCAGTGCTTTTCCTTGTAAAGGAGCCTGGCTGTTCATGCCTCGCTGGATTTTATGCAGATACAGATGTGCTGCGTCTAGATGGGGGGTGGCTGGTTACAGTGACATCTGGGATCCCTCCGCCTAGAAGCCAGAGCCCCTCCCTCATCCGCATTTTGATTTTTTTCTTCTTCTATGAGTGTCACTGTTGTTTTCTTTATTAATTTATCCAGTACTATTGTTTTACTTAGACTTGAACATCTTTCCTAGTTGCTGCTTTCAGTGAAGTATTTAGCTGAGGTTTATCTAACAGTGACTGTTCAGAGGGAAAGAGGGATCTCTGTCACAGCTGATGAGCATTCGGTGTGATTGAATGAAGCATGTGCTCCAGGTGCATTGAGAAGCACGGTGTTGAAGAGCAAGGGGGGACGCTGGCAGTACAGGCTGCCACTTCTGGAGCCCGGTAGCTGGCTCTAAGGGCCCAGAACTGTTTCCCAGTGATGGCTGTGAGCACCCCACCACGCCATAGGATCCTGAAGCCTTTCTCCCTGCCTACATTTGTTTTCCTGTAGTGGTGCAGGGCATGCTAACATTCAATGTGTAGTCCTCTTGTTAGGCCAGCAGGGGGCTTTTGGAGGCCATGCAGGGAATGGCCAGCAAGGCATTACTTTTCTGTTCCCATGATTTCTTAGTATTCTTTTCTCTTCCTCCCAAACATGGTTTTTGGGAAAACAAGTCACTGTGTGAGGCTAGTCTCCCCCATTCCGTCTAAGCCAGCTGGTTGGTGCTTTCTGTCTTAGTGGTATTATGGAGGTGGTAGATGCTAGTACATGGCCAAAATACAGGTTAGGAGCCACAGGGGCTCATTGAGACCTGCAAAATAGAAGTTTCCCAGTTTTTTAAAGAAAAATTAACACATCCAGTACTGGATAAACTCTTTATTGAACTCCATTTTCCTACTTTAGTAGGACTAAGCTGTTTCAGAGGAATATTTCAAAGTTTTGCCCAAAAAATTGCAGAAGTGGTAAGCAGATAATTCAAACATGGGTCGTTAGGTTTATGTTGCTTTTCCACAAATAACTGCATCTTGAAGACACTGGCTTCTGAAGAAGTTGTAACGTGTATAAACACAAGAAGTAAAAGTGCATTGTGCAGTGTTTTCTAAAATAGCTGACTTGGACATGTTTGAAGCTTTGACTTCCCTTCCCTTCTGAAAACTGGCACATGCCTCTCCAGATGATCTGTGTGCATGGGAAGCAGTGAGTCTCTTGACTGGGCCTCTGTTCTTAGTGTCTTCATCCCTGAGACCAGCATGGGGGAGGGGTCCTAATGTTTGGTTTAAGCACAGTATCACTGATGTACTTTAAGTGAGAGCATGTTATTTTCAACATTCTGAATAAAATTAAATATAGGCCTGGACTTTGTTTTGTTCCTGTTTCAGAAGGCCTGAGTTAATTGCCTGTTATTTTTTTAGAACACCTTCCCAAACTCCAGCCTCGACCATACTCATGTGCAAGGTATGAATACTAATAATGTAATAAATAATAACGTAATAAATAGACCGTTCCTAAGTTCTGTGACACCTGAACTTCCAGCTCTCTTCCAGCTCTCCGGTGACCGGGACAGGTACCACACACTCTCTGGTGACGGGGACAGGTGCTACACTCTCCCCTGCTTTGTAGAGCACAGTGCTAGGCATGGTGCGATCTGAGGAGCCCAGGACTTCTGTCTTCTGTGCCCTGGGAATTCAGTTTGTCCCTGATGATCTAGTGTTCATTTCCCTGTTTAAGACAGTAGGCCCAGGACTCACCGTCCCTAGACAGCTGAGGGGCCAGCAGGGAGGATCAGCTGTGGAGCAAGTGCTGGCCTAGGCTTTCCAGTGCCCCACCCCTACCCCTGCAGCAGGTGTGGTTGTGGGAGGGATTTCACCCTCCATTTCGTACACAATACAGTGTGGACGGGGTTGATGGATGTGTCTCCTGGGGATTCTGAACTTCGTGGTTTCTTCACTTTCAAATCTGTTAGCTGTATGAATAATACCTAGTGTGTTTGTCCCTTGTCGTTTGCATAGTAATAAAAATCAATCAGGTAATTGCTGAGTGGGGGGACTCTTGAGGGAAGAGCCTTGGGGCAATTCACTTTCTACAATCCTTACTGAAATGTTGAAGACAAGTAGACAGAACTGGAATGTTTCCTGAAAGACCTGAAGTGGGCAGGCAAGGGTTAAATGGCTCTAGTGTAGAGCAGTGGAAAGGTGGATGGATGCCGGTTTCCCCAGCACAGTGAGACAGCATCGTCCATCCCTGATCATCATCAGAACTTGTCTGTCTTTGCAGCTCGAGCCTACTCCATCCAGACAAGCTTCATTTTGTGTTCAACATCATAGAGTGTCCGTCTAACACCACAGCGGGCACACTGCGGAAGGGGGTGTGCACAGGCTGGTTGGCCACATTGGTCGCTCCGTTTCTTCAGCCAAACACAGAAGCTTTGCAGACAGACAGTCCTGATGCCCTGGCTCCTAAGGTACCAGGACGGCACAGCCTCAGCTCGGCCAGAGTTCCTTACTGGAACACCGTGCACATCTTAAACATGCCTGCATTTGTTGGTCTGTTGTTGTTCATCTTGTCTGTGGAAAAGAGTGCCTTTTCTGTGACTGGTTTTGACTCTGGGGGGTGGGTTGTTGTAAGCTCCTACTATGTCTTTCACTTAAAAACATTTTTTAAAATGCTTTACAACATTGCCCTTTGACTATTTCCTACATGTATACAGTCTATCTTGATATATCCACTCTCCACCTGACTCCAGCTTCCCCCAGGGCACCCCCAGTCTCAAATCCATCCCAGCTCATGTCCTCATTCATTCATTCCTTCACTCATTCATTTGCTCGTGTATACTGATATCACTGCTGTCCATATGCTCATGAGTATGGAGCCATCCACTGGGCACGGGGACACACTGGTGGCCACACACACACACAGAGGAAAGTGACTCTTCCGGCAGCCATCAGCTCCGCCAGTCCCTACCTTGGGGGTGCTTGTGTTTTACGCTTCTTACCTTGCCTTCCCAGTCACTTATTCCTAGGCTTATGCTTTTAACTCACATGTAAAAAGAAGTGTTATGTGAACACGCTTTAGATATGAGTAGAAAAGAAAGTGTTTGCAGAACAAACTCTTCCTTCTTCCTCGGTGGTAAAATGTGTTCATGGCTTTAGTAAGGTCTGACTTTGCCATGTAACTTAGTGATGCTTCTCTGAGAGGAATTAAGACTCCTCATGATCAATCTGTTATGTGCTGTCATGTGCTTGCCTAGGTTTTCTGTTATGCTTACCAAAGCTGGTTCCATATTCCAGATATCCATCTCTCCTCGAGCAGCACATGCTTTCCACTTACCAGATGACCCTTCAGCCCCCATCATAATGGTGGGTCCAGGAACTGGCGTGGCCCCCTTCCTTGGCTTCCTCCAGCACCGGTAGGTGTGTGTTCACTGTGGCTGGTGGGGAATGTGTTCCCTGTCATTGGGTGGAAACAGATCGTACATTTTTTCCTTCGGTCATTTTAGGATAATTGGGTGTTGTTTGTAAAATGTTTACTTTCGAAAGTTTTTACCTAATATCGAGTGTTATAGTTATTTGTCACTGTGAGGAAGGTGGTCGTCAGTCTGTGCTCCAAGTCTGGAGCTCCCCTTTGTACGGTGGCACTTTTAGTTGTCACTCTGTCTGTTCAGATGTGTTGTGGGTTATAGCGTATGTACTTAGGGATGATTTGAAGGCGCACCCTCCTGCTGTGGTGGGTGCAGCTGTTCCCTCCCCTGAGCTGTCGGGTTAGTGGTCACAGACACACTTGTACCAAGTGTCTAAAGCTAGCCCCAGACATAGGAACTTTCAGAGTGGCCTAGTGGCTATTCTAAAAGAGTAACGTGATGGAGTAGATGAATCTGGCCTCTCTCGTGTTCCTCGCGCACTGCTCTCTGGGCCCTGGTCGTCACCACTTGCGATGGTGAGACTGATGTCAGATCTCTAGGCTGTGCGTCTCTCAACACCTGATGTGGCTGGCTGATGGATGCTCCAGCCCTTCGCCCATCCATTGGCTTCTCTGTTTGGGCTAATGCTGAGACAACACAATGCTGCCTGGTGAAGTAAATCACACCCTCTGTGGCCAGGAACCAAAGAGAGGACATGGCCAGGGCACCACAACCTGCCTTGGGGCCACACCCCCAGTCCCCTCAGGACTTTTGAGAGAGCCGCTGTCTAAAGGACTAAAGGAGGGCTGGTGTGTAATCAGATAGAACACCTGCTTAGGGTGAACAAGAGCCCAGGGTCAGTCCATAACACTGCAGCATAAAAGCCAGATAATACCCAAACAGCAAATGCTGAGACAGTATAAAGATGGCTTTTATAGACCTGTTTACCGTGATATTTCCTGATGAAAGATGTGTGTTCATGTGCTCATGATATCCACATTTCCTTTGCCTCAGAGAGAAACTCCAAGAACAACACCCACATGGAAATTTTGGAGCCATGTGGCTGTTTTTTGGCTGCAGACATAAGGACAGAGACTATTTGTTCAGGTAGAGTGCGTCTGTTGTAATTGGACAGACTTTGTCATCCTTAAGCCACCACCTTCCCGTGACCATGCTGAATTGTGTTGCAGAGAGGAGCTCAGGCGTTTCCTCAAGATTGGGATCTTGACTCACCTGAAGGTCTCCTTCTCAAGAGATGCCCCAGCGGAGGGGGAGGAAGCCCCAGCAAAGTATGTGCAAGACAATCTGCAGTGCCACAGCCGGCAGGTGGCCAGGATCCTCCTCCAGGAGAACGGCTACATTTATGTTTGTGGGTATGTGGCCACATAGGAAAACACAGCTGCTGTCATTGTGGATGGATTGCGGAGGCCAGTAACCAGTGGAAGAGTCATTGAGTTTTCACACATACCATACATAAGAACACAGCGAATAAGTCTAGCATACACTTAATAGCCAGACTTTCTTTTCAGGGACCCAATGGTGAATGCTGGCTCTTGCATTGGAGAAAGCTTTACTTTGGGTATGTTTTTAGCAACTGAAAATTTGTATTAATCACACTGGCTGGTGGCTCACACCTTTAATCCCAGGTTTCAGGAGGATCTCTGTGAGTTCGAAGCTAGCCTGGTCCACAGAGTCTGTTTCAGGATAGCCAGGGTGGTAACACAGAGAAACCCTATCTCAAAAAACAAAACAAAACAAAACCAAAAAAACAACAAAAAATCTTAATCACTTAAATTGAAGTCTCAACATGGGTTTTGTTGTATTGAAAGAATTTGAGATTTGTAGCACTAAGCCAACAAAAGTGAAGTAGGGTTTCACTCTGACAGTGTACATCAGATTGGAACCCTTTTTTCTCTAGGGCAGTGTGTGGTGCTCAAGTAGACAGAAGACCAGGGCTACTCTTCATTACTAAGTGTTATGTACATTCCAAGACATTATCTATCACAGAAAATACAAATTATAAAAACTTGACTCTAAAACTTCAGCTAGATTAAAAGAGAATTTTGAAATAAGAAATTTTAGTTTTATCCTAAACACCCTGAGCATTTACTGTCTTCAGTCAGCCAAGCGTTTCTCTGGCCTTTTAACTGATGCTGAAGATAAAGTGGTGGCCTTTCCAAGGCTGTTTTTGGCTGTCTGGATGACTCCATGACCCTGATGTGTTAGTTCCTGGCTCTCAGCTGAAGAGCACTGCAGAGTCCACACACTGTGTTGGTTTGTGTTTCCTTTAGCTTTTGTTGAAGTTCTTGATCTTCGAAAGTAGAGGGCATGGTGTCACATTGAGACCAAAGTGTTAGCCTCTAAATAGCAGAAGCAGCTGATTACACAGATGCACCAGTAACTGGTCTGTGATATCTCCAGACTCTTAAATTCTCTCCCACCATAGCCCCTCCCAGTCACTGACTCTTAACTTTCCTAGAGAACACTCATGTCGTCCGAGATGAAGGCTCAGAGTCACCTCACCAGTCCAAGTGGAGTAGGCAGGCAGGAGCAAAGACACTGAAGGAGGAGGAACCTGTCCTAAGCCAGCGGCGGATCAAGTGAGGGGATGGAGAGAGGGCCTGTAGATTTGGCAGAGGGTCAGGCCATTGGGATAGGTGCTCTGGAGTGGTTGAGGCAAAGATGAGGAATGAAACAGACGACACCGTTTACCTGCTAGGAGTAAACTGACAGGACAGGCTGTATTCCCTGACATCTGTATCCTGCCTTAGTTTCTTCATCCAGACATTCGAGCACCTGCTGAGTGCTTTATACCATTGGGGCATTGGGAGGTAAGAGCTGAGGTCCACTCCCTGACCTCAGCGGGCATTGTGGGAGAGCCCGGGATCAGGGATTAGCATGGAGTTAGCATGGGATGGTGACACACAAGGTGGTGCCTCCCCTGCCTTCAAGGACTCATACCTGTCCTCAGGAAGGGTCTGTCACTTCCTGTGCACAAAGGCTTGGGAGGATGAGAACGTGCAGCTCTACTGTGCACTGTGGGAGAGGGAAGGGGCCCAGGAGCTGGTCCAGAACTGAGCTTCCCTCCCGGGGCTGTTAATAGGGGGATGGTAAGCCATGGAACCTCATGGTCAGCTCTTCTTAGAGTGGTCACCACAGACGAAGATTGGCCTAAGGTAAGAGAGCTGAATGTCTATGGAAAACATTCGAGAATTGAGGAGGAAAACAAAGATGGCAGGGTCAGAGAACTAGGTATATGATAATTAATGAAGAGAATTTGGTCTTTAAAAAATTTCCTGTGTTGTAAAGCATATGCTATTTTGTTTTCTAGAGATGCCAAGAATATGGCTAAAGATGTGAATGACACCCTTGTAGACATCATAAGCAAAGAGTCTGGAGTTAACAAACTGGAAGCCCTGAAAACACTGGCAACCTTAAGGCAAGAGAGACGGTACCTTCAGGACATTTGGTCATAAAACTTAAAACGCCAAAGGCAGCTTCACCAAAGCTGAGTTTCTTGGAGGAGGTTGGGTGAGGAACAGATAACTTACAGGTCCCCTGCAGCCTCATAGGTGGTCTCCCACTCCTCATCTGTGGCCCCACCCAACGCCCTACCTGTGAGGAGGTGGAGAGGCAGCCCCCCCCCCCCCACGACAGGTAGTGGAAGGCTCTCCTTAGCCTGTGCACATACATCATGGGAAACTGTGGGCATGTTACCTTTCTATGAAGTATACACAAAGAATATTCATACTGGTAATATTTAAATTAGTTGATGTAAAGCATACTTTTTGGATATTTATATAATTATTTGATTGTGGTTTATTATCAAAATTATATTTCTGATAAAGTATTTTAATTTTAAAGTAATCCTTATAAGGGTTTTTATGCTACAAGATATATTTTGAGATATATTTGAAGTTCTACTCTGCCGTTTTCATCATGATTATTTGCAGTGTCACAATTCTGTAGCTTAGGGACATTTGCATCCCACATACAGACATCATGTGCTCATGTCAGTCATGTTGCAACCACAGACTCTTTCATCTCTGCTCCTCACAAATAGAGTTGGCTTCTTCCCAAAACTGACTATTTCTGTGATACCATGCAGATTGTATCCTAGCCTTAAAATACTCCAGCTAGATTCTGATTCCAACTTCTCTTGAAAGTTATGAAAATAAAGCATACAGAGGGCTTCTGTAGTAGTTATGCATGTTGTTGCAGGGACACTGACTTCAGGTGGGGGGATTTCAGTTTACAGGTTTGGTGTGCAATGCACAGTGGTGATGAGGTTGCGGTGACAGAAGCTGGAGGCAGCAGTCATGCACATCCACAGTCAAGGAAAGACTGCCTGTGCCTAGCTAGCTCTCTCCTTTTCCTACACTCTGGAACTCCAGCCATGACATGGGTCTGCCAACATTTAGTCCTGTCTTTCCACCGCTGGGCAATCCACATAACTTCTCACAGGCATAGCCAGAGATGTGTCTCCAAGTGATTCTAGATCCTGTCAACTGACTCTGTAACTAGCACGGGTATAAAACCTTTCTCCATTTTGTCTCATGTAACAGTTCAACATTTAAAATAAATTCATGCCTTCGTCATTGTGACAATTAAAGATCTGAGAATGTAATATTTCAGCCTTAGTGAGGATTTGTGGCTCTTTGTTCATCTTACATATTGTATTTTGACTATTGCATATATTATGTGCAATAAATAACAGTTATACACCACCAATCCTGTTTTGTATCCTATGACATTTGGGAGTTGTATGCATCTGCCACAGTAGACTGAGACAAGACAGAAAGGTAGAAACTGCCTCTCAGTTAATGATAAGATGCCCACCTGTCCCTGTGCTGTGTAGTACATGACCACAAACTGACAGATCCAAAACACAGAACTGAGGAACAGCTCGTTATAGTTGCTGGTGAAAACAAGCAAATCTAGGCCTCTGCACAGGACACCCAGGAGTAGGATCACTTGGGGCCCCATAATGTTACTTTTATTTTGCTTCTCCAGTGTTAGTGATAAATATTTTAAAGGCTCAGATATAAAAATGATCATCCATGAATCTGATTTTAACCAGATCTAATGAAAACTGGATCAGGTAAGTTAAATGTGGTGGCATAATGAATGTCCTGGCACACACCTTGACAGCATTGTAGACTCAAGTGCAGAGGTCTGGTCTATTCTGTTCTTTCTCCGTCTTTTAAGCCTCAGTCAGCCTCACTCAGGTGATACAGTTTGCCTCATGTGGGCATCTGAGTGAGTTATTTTCAACAGTGATGAAAGGGGAGATCATCTAAACATATGTGTAGTATATGGATGACTGGGTGAGCCTCCGTTTGGAAAGGGGCATCAACTCAGAGCTAATATAAGCACTGTTACTTATGTGGACACAAATACTCTCCTCTGCTTTATGTTTTATTTAATGCTCGCATTCTTCTTTCTAAATGTGGTTGGTTGACATTGCATGGAAATCCAAATTCTCCTTTTGACACCTATTAAATTTTCATGACTAGTGGATTTAATAAGTTTTCTTAAGTTAGGTCTATTACCATTTTTATTTTCATGTGTGAGAATATTCAAGCTAGAGTTCCCTAAAGTGGATAAATGTATCTACTTGTCTCTAATCACTGTTTCTCAGCATTTATTTATTATTTTGGGTTACCAGGCAGAGAAGAGGAAGCTCGATTCAGAGCTGGAGGTCCCCAAGGGCTGCCCAGCTTATCTTACTTCCTCCAAAGATCGTGGGGTGTTGTGTTGCTGCACTCCTATGTGTCTAGCACAGGGTCAGAAACTCTTTTTAAGAGTCCACTGAAACTGAGATACCAGTTGTCACTCTTACTGAGACTATCTTCCCCAAGGCCGTGGCGGCAACTGGATCAGCCAACTTCAGAGTTGGGCTGTTGGGCTCCAAGTCCTTCATCTTTTATGGGGAAAAAAGAAAAAAAAGTTTATTACAAGATTTTACTCACAAATGTGGTATGTAAGTGTGCTAATTTATGCACAGTTGGTAAAGTGGACCTGGCTGACTCATCCTGCCTTATTTCCTTCTGGGAAGGTTGATGCCTTCACCAAGAAGGTTGCAGTCTTAAAGCCAGACTTACAAGTTCACCATACACATCTGTGAAATTTAAAACCTGAATGTCCTGGAATCAGTGGATTGTATAAGGATTAAGATCTTCAGCATATTGTGCCTGACTACCTAAGAAAATGGCATTGCTCTCCCATTTGGTTCATATTGGTAAGACCTCCCAGTGCCATTTGTAATCCTACACCTACAGGCGCTACACACCTGTTAGTCACAGAATGAGAGGTGGTCTGTGGGTCCTAGGCAGTTTCCCTGCTTTCAATGCCCAAAATGCATTTTTGGAATCTGGAAATCTGCCTTGAAAGAGTGAATTAGATAAGGTCAGGCCCAGTAACTTAGTTATTCGTCAAATATTAAATAATTTACAAAGTATTCAATAATATTGTAAGATTAATTCTGGTGACTTTTTAAGTTAAACTACAATCTTTATTTCATTTTTATGTTTCCACACTAACAGTTTTTTTTTTTTCAGATTTAGCAATTTTCCAAACTTCATATATCCCTTACAGCATGTGAAAAAACTTGCTAATAAAACATTTTCAATTAAATGTGGTTGACAGAGGTGACGGGTCTTGCTGTGTGGTCACTGAACCTGAGCAGACAAAGATCAGCTCTGACAAATACTTGGAAAGTGTAGATGAAAGGCAGTAAGATACAGTTGGTTAAGGTGCAGCACAAATTTGCCTTCTTTTAAAATCTGTCAATGATTTTAAAAGAAACGGCTACTTTTTATCACTTTAAAATTTCAGATTTTGCTTTTTAGCTAACATCCCTACTTTCTGTGTTCCCATTAACGTGTATATGTCTCATTATATAATTACACTGAAAACCAAAGGATGGTGATTAACAAGTGTTTGGGGTCATCAAAGAGGATGAATGGCAGGTTCTTATGCTAGACAGGAGGAGGGTTTAACTAAGAAAAATGTTAGAATACAGGAACATTTAAAGACTTCATTATTGCCATCATTCACTGTGTCCTATATTTAAGTACTGAAACTGGAACACAGAACATTCGTCTCACTGTGCTTTTTTATTTTTTCTTCCTTTTTAAATACCTTTCCTTAAATTGTCAGGATCTCTTACTGCATAGAAATGTTCCAGTGTGAGGCCGAGAAACTGGCGTTTCACAGAAAAATAAACAGAAAACAAAGGGGCTTTGGCTCAGTATCACAGAGTCTACTTTTCCAGAGATTGTTGGATATTTGTCAATACTGGCAATTTAACACAAGTATGAATTCTGATGTCGGTTCATTTGACCAAAACATGCATAGAGCTATCCACATCTGACAAAATTATTCAATGCGTGTAATACACACACTACTGTCACAACAACTCTACACCTTCTGCAGCAAGCACCATTTTGTTAATGGGTGTGTTCTGAATTTTGGAAGAATGATGTTCAACAAGGACTTTTTTTTTTTTTTGACTTGATAGTTTTTAAGCAGTCTTCTCATTTTACATATTATATACCAATCCCAGTTCCCATTCCCTCCCCTCTTGCTCTCCTTATCTTCCCCTGACCCCACCCCATCCACTCCTCAAAGAAGGTAAGGCTTCCCATGGGGATTCCGGCATATCACTTTGAGGCAGGACCAAGGCCCTTCCTTCAATGTCTAGGCTGAGCAAGGTATTCCTCCATAAGGAGTGGGCTCCAAAAAGCCATTTCATGCACTAGGGATAAATCCTGGTCCCAATGCCAGTGACTGCACAGACCACCCAAGCCACACAACTGTCACTCACATTCAGAGGGCCCATTTCAGTCCCATACAGGTTCCCTAGTTGTCAGTCCTGAGTAGGTGAGCTCACACTCGCTCAGGTCAGCTGTCTCTGGGTATCCACAACATGGTCTTGAATATTTGCTCGTATTATAGCTCCTCCCTCTTTTTAGCTGGACTCTGGGAGCTCTGCCCAGGGCTCAGCTGTGGATCTCTGCATCTGCCTCCATCAGTTGCTGAATGAAGGTTCTATAATGAGAATTCAGGTACCCTCTCTGTTAATGTTTTGGGTCTTTGTTGGGGTCATCATTGTGGATTCCCAGGAATTTCCTTAGTGCCAGGTTTCTCACTAGCCCCATGGTGACTCCCTCAGTCAAGATATCCCTTCCCTTGCTCTCCCTCTCTGTCCTTACCCCGTCTCCACCATCCAGTTCCCTCATGTTCTCCTCTCCTCCCCATCCCCTTATGCCTTCCCTCCCCCAACCCCACCCATTAAGCTCCCAATTTTCTCAGGAGATCTTGTCTCTTTCCCTTTCCCAGAGAGATCCATGTATGTCTCTCTTAGGGTTCTCCTTGTTACCTAGCTTCTCTGGGGTCACGGACCATAGGCTGGTTATTCTTTGCTTTATGTCTGTTATCCACTTATGAGTGAGTACATATTGTGTTTGTCTTTCAGGGTCTGGGTTACCTCACTCAGGATGGTTACTTCTAGTTCCATCCATTTGCATGCAAACTTCATGATTTAACGAGAACATTTTCTAAATTCCCCTTGACCACGGCCTTCTCCCTCACAGTCTCCATGGTCCTTGATTCACCAGCACTTAAGTCAGCACGTTTCTCAGCTTTAATTCACTTTCCAAAGGTTACCATGGAAAAGGGACAAACTCGTGTTGCTTGTTTTGGGATATTTGATCACACTGTGAATCCCGAGATCGCATTATTTAAATAAAATCAACCGTAGGTTGAGAGGTGGAGCAAGCAACCAGTTGGCTGGAAGTAACCACAGAGTGAGCGGAAGTGGGGGATGGGGAGAGAGAGGGAGTAAGAGGGGGTGGAGAGAGGGGTGAGGGAAGAAGGGAGGGGGAAGAGGGGGCACACAGGAAGTAGAAGGGAGGGACATCCGGTTGGAGGAGTTTTATTTCAGACACTGTAGGAGAGACTCCTCTTTCTGAGACTACCACAGCAGAGGAGGAATTTCAGCCGCCTGCTTTCTCTACTTCTCAGTGTTAGGCTTTTCTATCTGGCTCCCAAGTCTTTGTTGTTGAAATAAAGAGGTAGAGATTTAGACAATATTTGCCTCCCTACATGGAGGTGGCTGAGGGGGCAGTGGCAAGACACTAAGGGTCCCCAGGCGTGGCAGCAGTGAAGTGGAGACAGCTGCCCGGGCAG